TATATATATATATATATATATAAAATATAACTATATATTAGTTCCGATATATTTGTCACCTGCCTTCGCGCTGGGACATCCATGACCTCCTGATTGTCCTGTCAGGACTATCACTGTTGGCTTGTCAGACCTCAGTTTGGCAGTCCTTGAGACTGAAGCAGACAAGCCTGGAAGGGCTGGATACACTATTCATGACCTCCAGCAGGATGATTCCTCTCTCCTTCCAGGCTAGGAGATGGGGCACTTTATCTTAGAGGTGTAAGCATGGTCAGCAAGTGCAGGGAGGGCTGTAAAGCCGCCACTGAAACATCCTGCTGCTGATGGCAGACCTGTGATAATCTGACTGTCGGCAGCATCCTAACTGGTTGTCTGAATCAAAAGGGTCATCATGTGTGTTGCTTCTGTATGAATGCAACCTTTTGGGACATTTGTGCAAAATGAATAGCGATAATACATGAAAATTCTGCAGGAACCTTGTCTGAGATGCCTATAAGTCATTTCAGGATGCCTGGTATGAAGAATGAGCCTCAATTTGGCATTGCTTTCCATTTTTTCCCCCTCTTGTGCCCCATTATAGTCTTGCTTTGAGATTTCTCTGAACAGCTTAGCAGATGTCCTTAGAGGCATCTGGTGGTAAAAGCAAAATGCAGTGGCAGAATCCAGCACAGCAGAATTCTGTCTATAAACTCCATATGATCAGCAAATTGTGGGCTAGCTCATGTTGGGGGTTTCTCCAAATCATCCCCTTTTGGCTTTGTCATGCCTCAGCTGGCAAAGTGTGAGTTACAAGCTCACAGCTGGTGCTATGTTGCAATCCTTGTTTCAGGTCCACTATAATTAAGAGCTATCTTTCTTTCGGAAAAAAGCTTTTTTTCATTCCTCTGCTGCTTGGAAACTGATTGCTCCTGCTCATGCCGCCTGCATGCAGCCACAGCTGGGGAAACTGGAGGTTTCACGTGGCGCCCGTCAGACTTAATACCTTTGGGCACAGGCAGCTCTTGCCTCTCCCTGGAGTCACCAATTCTCTCTGTTCTGCCTGTGTAAATGAAACGATCTGGGGCTCTTGGAGGTGACCTGAGACTGCATCCCTGTGTTGTCACAACTGGAGAGGGCATTAAATGCTTGTAGCCCAGAATGAAGTTTAAATAGCAGTAATCGGCATTAATATGGTTTGAAGAATTGAGTTGTTGGGTATTTTTATCTTAAGTTTATATTCAATTTCAGTAATTGTGTTTAAGGGGGGTTTTTATATTTAATCTTAAAAGATCAGTTGTGAAAAAACAAAAATGCTACATGGGATGATTTTTACCATTCCCCCACCAGTTTGTCAGAGCTACAGAGTGACTCTCAATGGAAACTGAAGCTTGCCAGCTTAGTTCCAACTGACCTCCACGTAAAAAGTAACTTAGATTTTTTTTAGAAGAGTTTGGTTTTAGTAATGTAGATGTCCAGTTTTGCTGAAATAGTACTTACACATTACTATAAGTGGCTGTGGTTTTTTATTAGAAAGAGAATACAATAGTAGGTGCTATATAGGTTCTTATATCCCGCTGGCCTCTCTGACTTTGAGTACCTCCCATTTGCGATGGCTGCACAGCCAGTATCAGCCACCTGCTCCATTTCTCATCTTGTCACCAAGATGCATCTCCTAACCCTTTCATTACTGCAAGTGCGGTGCTCTAAACATGGGTCACATGCAAGAATTGCACCTTTCCTCTCCCTCTTAGATCTG